CTATTATATTTAGAGCAATTATATTAATCAAGCTAATTAAAGTAACATTTCAGCGAGTTCACATGGCTGCACGCCAACAGCTAGGCTTGACTCATGCAATTATTTTTAGTAACAAGTTTGAAATTAAACATACGATTATACAACGACATAAATTTATTCCCGCCAATTCTGAATTCGCTAGGGTATAAAAAATTAAAAAGTAATAAACTTAAATGAGTACGAATTATAAATAAATTTAAATGTACGTATGTAATACCGAAATGACTGGCATTGATTAAACTCAGGAGTTATTTGTACGCTATTAATATATTTAATCTTTATTGAACCTGCTAATGTTTAATTTTGAAATTACATATTCTTCTTTTAGGATATCCTGGCTGGCCATATAGCTTGAAGAACCGATAACCGTTGGGGAAGTAAGGTTCTTGAGGTGCAGCCTCATACTGGTGGGCGAAGTGTAGGGCAGCCCCCCACTGATGGGGTGATGGCCTGGTAAGACATGCAGGAAGTCGATTGATGCAGGTGGCTCAAGATCGTGCTTTGTGGCATTGTTTGCGGGAGGCCTATGTTCAGCAGTGGACTTGTGAAGGGTTATAATTGTTAATGAAAATGTATTCTTTTAGTCAACCGTAGGAAAGTGATAACACTACGAAGGCGGTTATAGAGAACATAAAAAATATTATAAAACTCAATATATTCAACCTATCTAAATAATACATAACAAAATGAACGATAATATGGCTTTTGCTGATCATGTAGTTTTTTTTTTCTATATTTATGGACCGAAGCGACTCTTATTGACTTAACAATATAGCTGACGTTTTAGAGTAAAAAATTGGGTGTAATTATGTTTAACAGATATTTTTTCAATTTATTTTCTAAAAGTAAAATTTTTACTTTTATAAATCCATTCATCCATACATACATTACAGCCTATAAAAGTCAACTGCTGAACATAGGCCTCCCTTATTTAATTTTTTTTTAAATAATACACTTGTTTATTTGTGATAGAGTCATGCTGCACCTATATACGTGGTAGAGCGTTTTTAAAAAAAAGAAGAAAAAAAAGAGCCATGCTGCAGCTATATTAGTAGTATAGTTGTAGTACGAATGATTCGGCTCAACCGAGGAAGAACCACGCTCTCACAGAATACCAGTGTAAAATGGCATTTTGACACTGCTGTGTTTCGTATGGTGAGTGTAGAGATCCGGAGACCCATTTTACCGGAAAAGAGGCATTATATCTTAGTCCTCCCGGATGACGACGCATCTACATTTTAATTCTTTATTGAGGATAAATGTGTGTAGATATCTATGCGTCAAAGCAACCACTTACCATCAGGTGGACTGTGTGCTCGTTTGTCACCCTATCCTATAAAAAAAACGGTAATATGTACGGAGCGTGTATTGGCAGTGTAAGAATATCCACTAACCCATATCGTTCCGTTGGAGTCATAAGAGGCGACAGAGGGAAACTGAAGCAGGCAACAGCATCTTCATGATAACAATTCAAAATTATAAAAATAACTGCGGTTACCAACCCGCCTGCCAAGTGTGGCAAATATGGCAAAATCCCTATAAGGCAATCTATATGCGCCAACTATCGAAAAGCACGTAACAGTGGTAGAGCCACGCGGCAGCTTTTGCTGTCGCACGGATGGGCCGGCTCGAACTGGGGTGGTACCACGACCTCACAGAAAACCAGCGTGAAGTAGAGGTTTACCTCTGCGTTTCGCTTGTTGAGTGCAGGTGGCCGAAGGCCCTTTTTACTGGGAATAAGGCATTCCATCTTAGTTCTCACGGGTGACAACGCATCTACATTTTGATTTGTAATAGAGGATAGATGTAGATGTCTATGGGCCGCAGCAACCACTTACCATCAGTTGGACTGTGTGCTCGTTTATCACCCTTATCCTATAAAAAAAAAGCACAGAATAACACCGTTTTAGCTAGTGTTGATAAAGACAACATGCTATTATTATATCATTATTGATGGGCACATTAAATTACTGTTATACTAAATTTATTTCCTTGTATTCGAAGACACAGATAGAAAGTTATTGCAGGATCTTTAGCGTAAAGAAAAGGCTTTCTATTATTTATGATTCAAGGGCTTAGCTGATATTATTCCTAACTGTAAAATAGTATTCGTGTGAATTATGATTTTTATTAATTCCTTTTCATTGTATTTATTACATGGTTATATTCAAAAAAAAAGTCATAACATTTTGTCTTCAGATTTAAATGGTACCACCATCACCGACTGGTATAGTGTATTTAATAAGATCATTTAAATCAGTTGAGCCGATTCCGAGGAATCATTAAAAAAACATAACGAGTCGAATTAGAACTTTATATCATTTTTAACTCGATTAAAAATTGATATCCGTAGTCAACGTAGTCTCGTGATCAGATTTATCTGGGATTGATGCTATAACAGAAAAAAGAACAATAATAATAGGACAAAAATATTAATTTTACCCGTTCAGTATATTAATTTATTAAAATTGGAAAATAATGTACAGTAAGTACATACACAGTAAACACCAGGAATAAACACAAGCTAGTGATGCCTACTCGATGACCCCACAGAGTCAGTAATTATGATCATAAAAACGTACCTATTTACAACCATCTACTCTATTCTAACCACAGACACATGAAAAAAGACCTCTTTTGCCAAGTCCGTGGCACTGCAGACACCTCAACCCGCGACAGCGTATCAAGCACCGGCAATAGACCAAATCCAAATGAAATAAAAGAAGAAAAAATATTATTGTCTATAAATATGAGACGCATTGAAAATTATGATTTCAAACTTCTTTGTTTTTGTCTCTCGCCTACAATCGCGGTTCATATTTATATGGCATTTGAATGAATGTTATTTTCATTATAAGCAATTTAAATTCTCAAAAGAACAACCGTGGAAGAAGCAATGAATAGGGATGCAGTGATTTCGAATGTAATAGTAACTTTTATTTTAATTAAAATTAGAAAGGGTTTTCCTTATACAAAAGGTTTTTTTAAGTCTAGAATAAGCACAGACTAACACAAAAAAGAATAACACAGACAAACGAGCACAGAATACTGATATTTATGCCGGGTATAAATATCAGTATGTAATATATATTATGTAATAACGCTGAGTTTTCTGTAACGATTCCTTTTGCTATAAATTCAGTTCATAAAAATCCCTTCTTTAAAACAAAATACAAGTTCAACTATTTATATGAACCGTTTAAAATTTTTATTATATTTTAAGTCAACCTAAGTTGCTGAATGAACAGTTAGTATTAAGACTCTTTTTACATGCACTTCGTATGCAATAAAATGGATCGTTACGTAGAACGGAACGTTTCTTGAATATAGCAATCGGGCATAAGGACACTGTGGCCCATAGACATCTACATTTATCTTCAATTAACAATCAAAATGCATCGCGTTGTCACCCTTGACGTATAAAATGGAGTTTTGGACGTGGTATAGCCATGCTGAAGCTATATTAGTGGTATAATTGTAGCACGAATGGGTCGGCTTGACCGTGGAAGGACCACGCTCTCACAAAATACCAGTGTAAAATAGCAGCTTAACGCTGCTGTGTTTCGTATGGTGAGTGTAGAGAACCGGAGACCCGTTTTACTGGAACTGAGGTATTCCATCTTAGTCCTCACGGGTGACGACGCATCCGCATTTTTATTTGTAATTGAGGATAAACGTAGATTTCTATGGATTACAGCAAGCACTTACATTCAGGTGGACTGTATACTCGTTTGTCACCCTATTCCTATAAAAAAATGCGTCTCTACCAGTAAAAAGCTAGTAATAACTACGTCGTATTTATGCATAAAAAATCCCTGGGTCAAGAGGGAAGCAGCGTCAATTATAAGGCAAATATGTAGTTTAAATTCTCCTTACTACGACTGAGGCCCACATCTAACAGTGAACTGTCAACGTACTAATAAGGAGAAATAGAGGACTACAAGAATACAAAAAGAAAGCTGGGTTTGCTTGGAAAGAAACGAGCATGTCAAAAAATGAAAAAAAAAATATTTCTAGAATATTGTTAGATCGCCAAACGAAAGATCTGATTGTTTACCGAAAAATTTAAGCGTTCTTCATACGGATCTATGTATTCACCAAGCCGGGAAAACGTGACTATTTCTTACAATGATGTTTAGATAGATACTTACTAGGTGGCAGGACTCGTTTTCTTCCTATAAGTCCATGTGTAATGCCTAGTTACTGATAACTCTGGTTCTCGCATTCACCACAGGAGTCACCGTATTAGGCTTAAAACTCATGGAGCAATATTTACCCAGACCAGCAGCAGGACCGCGATTTGCGTAGAATAAACAAAGTAGGTGTTGACTTTAGTAAATTTCACGATGTGGGTTACACGCGCGGTGAGTGCAGTTGTTTGCGGTTTCCACTGCACCAACAGGCAACTAGCAGAATCACGTGCACCGCAGCCTACTTTTTGGTAGTCAATTGACTTTTTTCCGGAACGATACGACTTAGGGACCTTTAAGAAACGAGCCTACTCAACCAGTGATTTTCCGGACCATCTCGCAATCTCTTTGCGAGACAATCCATTCCCTCCAAGTTAGCGGGCGTTAACGTCTCCGCGGCGGGCACGAAACCACATAAAACTGCGATCTCTTGAGTTTTCAAATAAAATAGCAGTACCTCTACAGATGCGGGCACGGACAAATATTACTCCATGAGTTCTTAGTTTTAAGTTGCTACTCACACTAGTTTTCTATGCGAGCGTCCTCCTATCCCGGTCGAGCCGACCCATTCGTACTAAAGTACCCAGTAGCTCCATCACATATAAACTTAGCTGATGAAGGTTATTGATAAATGGATGAAAAGATGATATGAAAAACACTGACCACAATCGCAATTATTAAAACATAAAAATACATTGTAAAATATTTATTTTACAAAAGACGTTTTAAAATATTCCTTCAATGCAGTTAACAACAAAAATAAAAAATTAATTATTCACATTCCGCTTCGTGCATTAAGATGGCTCGTCGAATATACCGGAAGTGGTAAAAACTAAACACAACGACAAAGGAGAAGAAGTATAACACTGAAAAAATAAAATAAAAATGACAGTCATCGGGGATTGCCTACAGAAGTGAAAACATAAAACTATTCAATAACAGTGTTTATTTTCGCATTTTCAAATTAGTTGTAGCATCACAAATTAAAAATTCATAATTTTTAAATTACAATCATTCTTTATTAATCAAAATATATGATGGGCTGCGCAAGCACAGTAAAAATATAATTAAAACGGCATACTAGGCATACCTCAAAACCTAAAAACAAGATTGTACGAATACTAATGCGTATTGCGTGTGCGTGTTGGCCGTATAAGGAAGCTCAAGGTCACTCAGCGAGCTATAGAGAGGAGAGAGGGCTATGCTCGGGGTTTCTTTGCGTGATAGACTTAAAAACGAGAATATCTGCAGCAGAACCAGAGTAACCGACACAGCCCAACGGATTAATAAGCTAAAGTGGCAATGTGCCGGCCAAATAGAACCGACAACCGATGGCTTCTCGAGTGGCAACCTCGTACCGGCAGGCGAAGTCTAGGTCGTCCCTCACTAAATGGTAAGACAACGTGACGTCCTGGTAAGACGTTTAGGAAGTCGATGGATGCTGGTGGCTCAGGACCGTGTTTTGTGGCATTCCTTGGGGGTGACCTATGTTCAGCAGTGGACTTGTGAAGGGGTGTAATAATGATTATGATGATGAACTTCAATATTGCAAAAAGTCATACTTATAGTTACAGATATACTACTATTACAGCATGTTGGTGATGCGAACTCATAAGATTTTACCCATCCTAAAATTACCCAACGCGCCCAAGCAATATTTCACTTCATAAGTCAGTTGTAAACATTATTCAGTCATAATGCCTTGTTAGCGGGAAAGATTAATAATGACCCCTGGCATTGAGGTCGTAGCAACTATGCTGTTTATTAATATTTTCATCTTAAATTGTATAAAACATTACCTCTCCCTCTCAGAAGTGAAAGAAGGGCCGTGCTCAGCACTGGGACGTATACATGCTGTTACTTTAATGTTTAACTTTATTATATTGTAAATTAATGTTTGTTCTTGAATGAATCTATATTGAATGAATTATTCTATTATATTCTGTTCTATTCCGCTCCATTCCATTCCATTATATTCCATTTTATTCTTTATAATTTCCACAGCTGGACATGGGTCTCTCCCTTTTTAGAAAGGTTTCGGATACACATGTTTGGTAGACGGATTGACGATTGTAGAACCAGACGCCTCGCACCACCATTCACGCCGCTGCGCTGCTCGATCTCGGTTTGGTTATTTTACGTCTGGCGTAAACGAGATGACTATACAGCCATCTATCCGAAACCATAAAGCTTTTCTGGCTTTTCCCCTAATCATCCATGTGCAAGGCCAAAGTACGAATCTAAAGAGCTACGAATAGTTCAAAAAAATACGAGGAAGTATTGATTAGAAAACTACAGACCTGCTCCAAAAAATGTGAACAGCCCGCTGACACACGCCAAGTTCGCCAATCTGTGTTGTTCATCCTTTATTTTTGGAGCTGTAAGTAATTAATATTAAGTACCTAATCACTGGTTCACTTTATACATGGTAGGGCCAAGCTGCAGCTATATTATGATTGTAGCACGAATGAGTTGTCTTAACCGGATAGGACCACGCTCTCTCTCACAGAATACCAGCGTAAAATAGCAGCTTAACGCTGCTGTGTTTCGTTTGGTGAGTGTAGAGAACCGGAGACCCTTTTTACTGGAAACGAGGCATTCCATCTTAGTCCTCAGTGGTGACAAAGCATCTACATTTTGTTTCTTAATTGAGTGTAGATGTCTATGTTCATACTTACTCCAATATGTTCCTACTGTACCATATGTTCATACTTTAAGCACTAGGAACAAACATCAGCTTGTAATACCAGTTACTAGACTCCACAGAACTAGTAATTCATTTATGGGGCAATGTATACGCTTTTACAACAAAATCCTAGAAAATATAAAAAATGATTTCTTATATTTACGCGAAAACTATACATTTAAATAAAACTAATTTTACGGATTTTATCGCGTATATTAACTTATTTTATATTCCCGACGTTTCGAGCACTTTCCAGCACCCATGGTCACGGGGGGGGGGGACTGAAATGTATGACGTCCTAATGTCATAAATTTAATTAATTTTTGTTGTTGCATAGACCGGAACAAAAATTAATAATTTTTAAACTGGAGGTAGCCGTGGGTAACTATGACATTGGGACGTCATATACCTCAGTCTCCCCCGTGACCATGGGTGCTGGAAAGTGCTCGAAACGTCGGGAATATAAAATAAGTTAATATACGCGATAAAATCCGTAAAATTAGTAAAAATGTACAAAATTTGACAATAAACAACTTCAAATGTTTTATTAAAGAAAAAACCCCTGCGAATGAGGTGATCACCACCATGCTGGTTCTATTAAAACTCATTAAAAATTTGTACAAACAAAAGCACAAAATTATTGTAAAGTGAAATATATTTTTAAAAAAATGTCCCGCTGGCATTTTTGCTGGTTCTTCCTAGAACAGAGGTATTTTCCGAACCACGGGTAAATGAAAAAAAAAATATTCAATAAGTATTACGTAATAATCTATATTGAATAAAATTATTATATTCTGTTCTATTCTACGAGTCACAGCATACATCATTACCGGCAAGTAGACCGTGGGCATATTTGTCACCCTATTATATAAAAATATAATATAAAATCATAGGAACTATACAAATTACTAGGTGGTATGACCTGCTTTTGTACCTAGTAGCCTTTCTGGGTGGGAACACCATTTACCTATTTCTGCCATCAAGCAGCAGTGCGTGCACTGCTCCGTCCAATATGAAGGGTTTAGGGAGCCAGTAAAATTACAGGCTGTTAGAGATTCCATCTTAGTCTTCCCTTTTCTTCTTTCCAGGTTAGGCGCACCAAAACACAAAAGCGCGTTTTCGTCCGTGGCCTCCAAAGTCCCCTGTACAACAGACCTCCGGAGTCGGACGGCCGAACTGACGCATCGCCATAGCAACACTCCTCTTTTCTCGCGACACCATCTCGGCTGCGGCGGTTGGGGGAAAGAACACCCCTCTCGCCGCAACCCAGCGATCCGCATGTGAATTAGGCTAGCCAAGCCCTCTTAGAAGGCCACCTAGGGCCAGTTATATGGGTTCCTATTAGTTCACCGTAGATGATCAATCCACGACTTCGCAGCCCCCCGTCACGACAAGAGCGCGTTTAGGGGGGAAATACACTGCTACCTAGAATTCACCTCTACAGTCAGGAATCAGACTAATCGCTCACGTTTATTTATAAAATTTTCATAAAAAATTAAAAATAAATTAAAACTTTACCGTCTTTAAATCGTACGCAAGCTCGACCGATCTTGGTAATTGCGAGCGACACTATTCCCATCAGAACGAGCATTGCTACCAATAAATAAACCTGAAATTGTAAATAAAAATCAATTAGATATATCACACAATATTATCTACACACACTACATCTCCAAGGTACCCATTTCTTAGGCCCTTATATACCCCATAAATTTCCACAAAGTACGGACCTTAGTCATCTAAATCTGCCAACTACCGGCGTTCTTTATTGATTCGTGACTCTATCAAGTGGGAGATATACAGATATATTTCTGTAAAATGAGTGTAATTGCATATAAAGAATTTATGACGGCCATTTTAAGATTTTCCCAAAAAGGTAATGGAAGCAACAGAGAACTGAATATGCTTTAGGATGGATACTAAAAAGAATACGAGACTATCTTTTATGATTATTTTTTTGCTTTCTTAAAAAAACGTTACCCCCACACTAGGATTTTCTCCTGTATCGTGGAGGCAGTTTACAAACATAGATTGCACGAGGACAAACATCCAGACCCGGAACAATTACTTGTAGGCCATACAAATACTTGTTCCGGACGGTATTCGAACCCGCGGCCCCCAGCGCAACAACTCATTGCTAAGCCACTGCGCTACGGAGCCGTTATCATTAGGAGTCATTCGATGGTGATAAGAATTGCATATATATATCGATAAGGTTCAGACGGTCAGTAATCGCCATTGCTTCAGTTTTTTTTATAGGATCGGGTGATAAACGAGCACACAGTCCACCTGATGGTAAGTGGTTACTGTGACCCATAGACATTTACATCTATCCTCAATAAAGACTCAAGATGCAGATGCGTTGTCACCCGTGAGGACTAAGATGGAATGCCTCTTTGCCAGTAAAAAGGGTCTCCGGTTCTCTACACTCACCATACGAAACACAGCAGCGTTAAGCTGCTATTTACGCTGGTTTTCTGTGAGAGAGTGGTCCTTCCCCGGTCGAGCCGACCCATTCATGCTACAACCATAATATAGCGGCAGCATGGCTCTACCACGTAGTAATACAGTGGTATACAATCCACCTTCTCATGTGTAATATAGAAGAAAGGAAATTAAAATGATTTCATATACTGGTACACGTGGTAGAACGACACTGCAGCTATAGTATAGTTGTGCCTCGAATGGGTCGGCTCAACCGGGGTAGGACCACGCTCTCACAGAACACCAGCGTAAAATAGCAACTTAATGCTGCGGTGTTTCATACGTTGAGTGTAGAGAACCGAAGACCCGCTTTACTGGAAACACGGCATTCCATCTTAGACCTCGGGGGTGACAACGCATCTGCATTTTGATTCTTAATCGAGGTTAATGTAGATGTCAATTTGCCACAGCATCCACTTACCATCAGGTGGACTATGTGTTCGTTTGGCACCCTCTTTCTATAAAAAGATTTTTCTGTAATTGATGTTAAGACATTGTACGACTACCTATACAAAAGCAATTGCCATTTCAGTTTGTGAAATTACTTTATTCCTTTGAATTCTTTGAATTTGGCTTTTACTTTTGATTGAAAGTTTAATTTTGATCCTTTTGAGTAGACTGAGTAATACACAATCTCAAAGTAACAACCAAAATATCATCTAAAAAGTTCATCCCCTATTTTTCCACCCGAGTGGTGGAATTCTTTCCCCATATTAAAAAAGACCAGCCTTTTAAGAATAACCGGTATAAACAGGTTATTTAGGTAAAGAATAATCTGTATAAATATTACGAAACAGGTTATTCTTTATTTACATATTTTTTTTATAATGTATTAATAATAAAAAATATTAAAGTCGGTTCACAACTGATATACAAAAAAAATACAGTCAAATTCCGAATGTCCTCCTTTTCTGTAATTCGGGTAATAGCGATATGATATAACACTTACCAGCATTGCACGACAGTTCTCAGTGAGTGCGACAATGATGAGAAGTAAACCGGCACCGGTAACTCCGCTCAACACCGCACCAGTAAACATACTAATCACTGTAAACGAACGATTGACGTTGAGTTTAAAAAACAAAGCTAGATAAAAGGCGATAGGACTTCGAATGCATCCGAGTGTTCGATTTTCCTGATCACATGGCCTCCGCTTACCGGACTCGGGTGGGGTCCGCTGCGCTGGTGATAGTGCGGTTTACTGAGAAGGAGGAGGCGGTGCAGATGTATTCTTCAGAAGAAGAGCCGCCATGGGGCAGCTGGTGATGGTATGGCCGCGGACGCTTGTGAAAGCGTTCCGTGGTCTTGCCAATATGCACAATGGGGTTTCAGTCGGCGCGAGTACGATATAACCAGTCCTAAGCCCCGCGAGGCGGGTATGCCTAGGAGTTGGACCTCGTAGGAACCACACTTTTGCCTATTTCTGCTGCCAAAGACCAGTGCTTATATTGCAGTGATCCGATCTGAATGGTATTTTCAGCCAGCATAATTATAGGCCTTGTGGCATTCTATTTTAGTCCTCAGGTGCGAGAACGCATCTGTAGTCTTGTCTGTTTGAAGTTAACTGCAGGACATACGAACTTAAAATATATTTGATGGTAAGTGGCTTCTGCAATCCATAGTCACCTGATCTAAGGGTTATTCACACCCAAACGGACACAAAGAGTCCACAGTACAAGCCAAATGCTTTAGAAAGGTCAATTAGGAACAAAAGTATTTTGACCTTCACTTAATAATTAAATGAAAGTATTGTGTGGAAAGATAACCACCAGAAGAGAAATGGACCACAGTATGGAAATAATAAAAAAGTGCAGTGACAACGCGCCGGCCAAGTGTGGCATCTATAGCAAATCTTACGAGACAATCTATGTGAAAGAGGGTTACTTTCAGCAGTAGACTTTTGATAGACTGTATTAAATCTATGAAAGATTAGAAACCATGGTCTCCGTGGTTATTGATGCCATAATTTACTTCAACCCTATTTAAAAAATAAATTCAAACGCGTAATGGTTAAAACGATAATTATGAAACCCGACTGCGTAAAAAGTTTACTAAAAAAAATTTATACTTTATGTCACACACCTAGGACGAATCTAAAGACCCCATATAAAGCTTTTCAAATAAATAGTCATACATACATACATACTTTCAAAAAACATAACTTAGCAATTTCTTTTTCAAAAAGGAACAAATATCTCAGAGTTCCTTGCAAGTTGTTTCTCCGTCCTTCAAAAAACGAATTTACTCCTTTCTAAAAGGCCGGCAACGCTGCTGAAATTACCCTGGTGTTGCAGTAATTTATGGGCTTCGGTCAACACCTATCTTAATCTTATTGGTCGTGGATAAATGTAGTAATACATTTATTTAGTATCGCGTGGGTATAAAGTTCAATACTCACATTGAGATTCGGAAGTCTGATGCATTTTATCGTACTGCTTCCCATGAGTCAAAATTAGCGTTAGAAGCACAGAACCGACCAGCACTTGGCAAAAAGCGATGAGCAACACTCCAGGGAACAAGTTACAGATGCCACAGCAGCTCTCGAAGTGGCACCCGGGCTTGTGAATGGCAAAGTGCGGGGGCACGCGCACAGAGCCTTCGCTGTCACTTCTCGGTCTCTTGTCCGAAGACCTTGTGAAATCTTCTGTTGTACTTTTTATCATTATAAAATCAAAGGTCGTCTAAAAATTTGGCTGTATCTAGGTACCGTTATTTGACATTGACGATTGACTTAAAAAAAAGTTGTATTAGTTGTTTTCGTCCAGTATTAGCAGGCAATTTAATTTTTAAAACACCTATTTTGGAATAAATTGTAATTATGAACACAAATAAAATAAACTTCGTTTTCTTATTATTATAAAGTAATTTATTGAGGGTAGATCTTATTGTTCTGCTTAGGTTTACCACTTTCTTATTTACATATATCTGCCGCTAAACAGCAGGGCTTGCACTGTTGTTTCAGTGTAATTATTGATTCATCAATTTTAGCCCACAAAGGTGACAACGCATCGGTAGCCTTTTTGGAACGAAGTTTCTTATCGTACTAATTTGGCGAATGGTGGATAGGCGAGAAAAAGTGTGAGATTTTTCCGTCACGACTCTTTCTGATGTAGTGTAGACCATAGACTTAGAATATACTGGCGTATAGACCAACATAGTGTGCAAGGGAGAAGAAAATTCATCAATGCAAGATAGAAAAGGAAAAGTATACCAAATGTCATGACTCTGTAACCGATTTTTAATGACAGGTCAGCACAAGTCGGCACGCAAGAAATAGCTCCTAGATATTTTGTTATTTTTAGAGTGTAATAGTGGTTATTTTAAGTAAGCAACGTTATTTCAAAATGGTTACTTGTTCTGTAAGTGACTATGGTGTTAATAATATAAATAATTCTGATAATTACGCATTTCACAAATAAATTCTCAAGACATCGTCAATGTTATGACGCGTTTATCTTTGGTTAAAATTTATGTTATTTACTCTTAAAAATATATAATGATTTCGATTATATTGTTAATATTGATTTTTTGAAAAGAAAAAAAATTCACGTTGTTGACAATTTGTAAAATATTTTACATGTACGCTAGGGATTGACTCAACTATATTAAAATTAATGTCGATATTTTTTATAGGATAGGGTGACAAACGAGCACACAGTCCACCTGATGGTAAGTGGTTGCTGTGGTCCATAGACATCTACATTTATCCTCGTTTGCAAATCATAATACAGACGCGTTGTCACCCGTTAGGACTAAGATAGAATGCCTCTTTTCCAATAAAAAGGGTATCCGGTTCTCTACACTCACCATATGAAACACAGCAGTGTAAAGCTGCTATTTTACACTGGTATTCTGTGAGAGCGTGGTCCTTCCCCGGTCGAGCCGACCCATTCGCGCTACAACTATACTACTTATATAGCTGCAGCATGGCTCTACCACGTAAAAATGAATGGATAAACTTTTCTATTTGATAATATATTATACGAACAATTTATTTTACCCTTTAGTATTCCTATTCTATCAATAGACGTTTTCAAATAAACACAAAAAGAAAACGTCAACCGCTACTATTACTTCTGAAAACACATTTTGGCGTGTCTAGCGTATTTACATGAATATTGTATCACGGACAACGTGACAGCAATAACAATGGAAGACAACGGTAATACGGATTTTTTTTAATACTATAACGGTGAAAAACGAACACACATTCCACCTGAAGACAAGTGGATGCTGTGGCCCATAAACATCTGCATTTATCCTTAATTAAGGAACAATATGCAAATGCGTTTTACCAATGTCGACTAAGATAGAATACCTCGTTTCCAGTAAAAGGATCACCGGTTCTCTACACTCAACATACGAAACACAGCAGCTGCTTATTTAAGGCCTTAATAGTGGTTGAAATGCCTAAATCTAGGATATTTAAGTAAAAAAATCTCAATAACTGTTCATTTAATCCACAAAGAAAAAATACTTGGTAACAGAAGAAGATTTGGTAAATGTTTTTAATTTAACAAAATTGTATTTTTGTCAACCCCTTATTAGAAAAAAAATCCCCAAAGAGTACCTATCTTTGTCATATTTTGCAAAATTTCTCCAAAACGGCACAAGCTTTTTAAATAGTTCTTATACTTAAAAAAAGGTCTTAAAAATATTAATATTTTTAATTGAGAGTTTTATTTTTATTACCCGTTTTATAAGAGAATATATCATTTTTCCCTGAAATTGAATATATTTACGCGAGTGCGCATTCTCCGTCGCCATGTAAGCTCTGTCACAGTCCGTTTTCGGACATCGTCGAGGGTGGACCGCACGTCGGTGTTGGAGCGACTTCGTTCAAATATATATTAGTTTTCTAAAAGTTTATACTCAATTATAAATATTTTTATGACTAGAAATACTTAATTTAGTTAATATCTGTATAATGGTAACTGTAAATATTATTTTCTAAATAAATGAATTTTTAAAGTGCCCAAAGAAGAATAAATTTTTGCGGCGACGTTGATTAGTGAAATTGATAAATGCATTTTTATATAATTTAGATGTGGAACGACGAACATGCTCTCGTTACTTAGATTTCGATAGTTTTTAATACCTATGTAATTTTATTGTTGCATATTTTTATTAATTAGTTGATACTGAATTTTATAATTATGTATTACAATAAAACGTTGTTAATTTAAGTATGACTTTATAAAATATTATTGAGGAGGGAAATATAGGTAAAGATACTAACATTTAGGTACACTGTTTTCAAATTAAATCAAACAATTTAAATAAATAAAAAAATGGTGTTTCCCTAAGTATAAATACATATAAAGACATTCCTGGGTTTATGGTTTTTTTTTTTATGTTAGACAAACTATCATCTAAAAAATGTTAAAATTATTAAATGTTAAAAAATGTTAAATGGTAAATATTCTCATACGCTTTTCTTTACACATACACACAAACATACACACACACAACACACACACACAAATAGGTCGCAAATAATACTTACCTAGTACTATTAGGCAAGAGTGAATAGGTTTTTGTTAAGTCAGTGCAATTCACCATCTTAGGCTACATAACCACTTACCGATGGGATTGTAGTTGCTTTACTAAGTAGTAAAAATGGTAAAAAAAATGTACCCTATGAAAGTTTGCATTTAGATATAATTTTTCTAACCAACCATAAAAATATGATGAGAATATGTATATAAGTATAAAGGTTACCTCACACGGGACAGTAATAATATAATATTATATCTTGCATTATCTACGCATGAAAACTTAAAATTTCTAAATCCCGAGGTATGTTCATATTAAGAGGCTGAATATAGCCACATTGAAATGCATGGGGATCGTTTTGTAATTTCACGTCATTATCGAAAAAAATTGTACGTATTTCAGGTGGCGGTTTGCAAAACACGATTCCACAAAAATTAACACAATAGAAAATAATTGCAAAGTTGCTTCTCAAAATACTTAAATTTTCAACGTCAATTTTTTTTTACGTGGTAGAGCCATGCTGCAGCTATATTAGTAGTAGGTATATCTGTAGCACGAATGGGTCGGCTCGACCGGGGAAGGGCCACGCTCTCACGGAATAACATGTAAAATAGCAGTTTAACCCTGCTGTGTTTCGTATGGTGAGTGTAGAGACCGGAGAACCTTTTTACTGGAATCGAGGCATTACATCTTAGTCCTCACGGGTGACAACGCATCTACATTTTGATACGCAATCGAGAATAGATGTAGATGTGTATGGGCCGTAGCAACCACTTACCATCAGGTTTTAAGTAATCTGTGATCAGGTGGAGTGGGTGCTCGTTTGTCACCCTTATTCTATTTAAAAAAGATTCTGAGATTTCAGTAAAATAATGTTAAGTATTGTAAGCACTCGTACAATTATGTCTCATGTTAATAAAGCTATTGGGCTATTTTGATTTGTAATAAAGTGATTTTATTTTATAGGTTAAATAATTTATTTATTATATTTATTTATTATAGGGGTCATTGTAGAAGCGTGCTCGTCGCGACCCCTGCCAGCCCTTTTCAGGGCTGCAATTCTACTCAGCTGCGCACCCATGTCAACGAGGGTTAGGGCGTCCCCCCAAGGCGACGCCCACCAGCTCGTCCCCGTTGGTGTGGAATGCAGCGCGCAAAGCGGCGATGGGGACCGCCACCCGTCACGCACAGCCCGACACGGCGGAAGGTGGAGGACGGAGTGCAGAGTTGGCACGTGGAATGTTAGAGGAGGCATGAGAGATAAGACGAATGAGTTGATCGAAATAATGAAAGAAAGAGAATTAGATGTCGTGTGTATGTCGGAGACCAAACGGAAGGGCAGTGGTACTGAAGAGCTCCCTGGCGGGGCGTTAGCTCTATGGTCCGGAGTCCCGGAGAGCGAGAACGCCTGCCAGGGAGTGGGGGTGCTACTGTCTTCTCGGTTGGTCGATGTTATGACTGAATATAAGTTTGTGAACTCAAGACTTCTCTGGGTTCGCTTTAAATTGGGACTGACGAAGTTATTCCTTTTGGCTGTTTATGCGCCGGTGGCTTCGTCGTCCAGGGCTGAGCTGGAGGAGTTTTGGGAGAATGTAAGAGAAGTTCTAGATTTGGCTAGGGGAAACGAAAGGATTGTTGTATGTGGTGATTTGAATGGATGGGTTGGTACCGCTCGACCAGGGTACGAGTCGGTACTTGGAAAGTTTGGCGATAAAAGGGTTAATGATGCTGGCAAGCTTATACTGGCGGTATGCAAGGAAAAGGGTCTTCTTGTGACAAATACTATGTTTAATCACAAGAAAATCCATATGTATACTAGAGAAAGAAAGAATGAGAGAAGTATGATCGATTTGTTCCTGGTGGATGACCGACTGCGAAAACAGGTTATGGATACGCGAGTGTTCAGGGGTGCTGACCTGGGAACGGATCACTATCTAGTGATTACTAGATTTAGGGGTCTGTTCGCGGGTTGGCGCTACCGGACGACAGTGACAGAACCACAGTCGGTCTGTCGCATCCGAAGCTGGAAGCTTCAGGAAGCGGATACTAGGGACAAATATCATGCGAGGGTAGCCGAAAAGCTTGACACCATCGATGGTAGAAACGAATGTGTAGAAAGAATATGGCAGAACCTTAGGGATGGAATGGTAAGTGCAGCGGAAGAAGT